GAGGAGGCAGGGTGAGGTGTCAGTGACACGATTAAATCTCTTTGACAATGATCCGCCAGAGCAGGTGAGATGCAGCATAGCTGGGAGCAAGGGGCGCCGGCACGTTTTCCCAAGGGAGCGGGGTCCCTCGCCTCTCTCAACCTACATCCCCGCGGAGCGCCCGCGAGAGACAGTGATTTATGTGTAGGGAGAATCAAGAGAAATTTTCTGCACAATGTATCTTTCTCTGCCTTCACAGACTCAGTTTCTTCCCAGCCCCAGGGAGCGTATTTTCCCTTCCCCTCTGTAAAGCTCTCTGTGGACTGCATTATCATTTGCTAAATACATTACAGCTCGCTATTTATTTCACTCTGCAGCTTCCAGACCTTTGTTGCATTCTCTCCACATCTAGGAATTTCAGTAATAAATCACCGAGGGGGTTAGAGAGGCTCTCTCGCCCTTCCCTTCATTGTTCTCCCTAACCCCACCAAATCAGGTGGAAGGCTCTCCAAAAGGAGCTTTCTTTAGAATGCCTGCCTTTCCCAGTCCGGACTCCAGAGGGTGGCAGGTGCGTTAAGGGGCAGGCTGTTTTTTAGCTGAGATCTAGAATTTAGGGAACCTCATTAATAGAACCTCTGTGTCTTAAATCAGACACCTTGAGAAACAGAAGATTGGATTAAAAGGTAACATGAGATTTATTCTCAGACCAATGGCCAGGAAAGATGAAAGAGGCCAGTTTTGATTCTGTGCCTCGCTGATGCCACAGCCCTCAGACTCCCCAGCTGATACTTGGCATACCTCGTGGACAGTGCCTGCTAGGAGAGGGTGGGGAGGGGCCTGGAGAATGAAATGAGTTTATTCTCAGTACAAGTTTAAACGTTCTGTTACATTTTATAGCTCATTTTGGGGTATAGTCTCTTTTAGCTGAAAATGTGGGGTAGTTCAACTTTTAATAGAAGATAAAAGAAAACTCCAGAAAATTTCTGGAAAATTTAATTTAGTGCTTAACTAGAAAGCATTCTTAGGAACCCAGAGAGGCACCAAGTACTGCAGTTTCTGTTATGCACATGTTGAAATAAACTGCCTCATACTTCAAGTTACATGAGAAGGATGGAGAAAACCTGTTTCATTTTGTAAAGACGTGCCCTGGGTGTGTGTTTGGCAGTGCGTAGAGCAGAAACATTTATATTTCTATTAAAAAAACACACACACACAAGTGTATATTGTTTAACTTGCATGCAAAAACTCGGATATAGTATTTGGAAAATCTGTCTTTGTTTGAATAGTTTAGTCAACCAGGAAAATCAGTTACTAGAGGTACTGTGCTATTGTTTGTGTAGTAACTCACTTGGGATGCTTTGATTGATTGCCGTGGTTCTCATCAACCTCCTCTTCTGTGGAAAGTACTTAACCAGCTCTGACTCTCAGGCGGGGAAGTACAAAGAACCCTTAGGACTTGGAGCAGACCCATCCAGCTTGTGTAGGTTGGCTTCTAAATCAGTCTTACTTCTTGCCTTCTTTGCAGGTGGTTTGACTTTGCATGAAGGGAATTAAGTTCACTTTAAGATAGGACCCCGCCTCCCCTGCTTCCCCCTCTCCCATCCCCATCTGCAAGGTATATATAAAGATGAAGGGTTGCTGTTGGAATAGGAACTCCTGTCATAGGGCTGTGCTCTAACGAGATCAGGTAAAATTTGTTGACTAGCTTTCTTCCTATTTTTCCACTTTTTTGCCGTTGGGCGTTCATGACTTTTTAGATGATTTTGTTTATGGCTTTGTCAAAATATAAGTTGAAGTAAAATTTTTCTTCTCTAGAAATGTTTCTTATGCAGGCATTTAGACCAAAATCGGTGTTGTTTCTTAGTAAGATCCTGGAGAAATGATTTCAGTAACCAAACATTATCTTAGTGAAATCAGGCTGGAGACAGGAAAGTTGAAAATAATTAAGTGAAAAATTTGTTATTTTTAACACATCGTTATGTTAGCCATTGCCTGGTTATTAGCATTTGTACTGTGAAGGAGTGTAAATAAGGCAAAACATCAGAAGAGAAGCTGAGTTTTCTGCCAGGTAGTCTTTAGGTATATGATCTTGCTACTTAATAGAAATTAATTAGATTAGAAAGGGAATTTGCAGTCTGGTTGCTGTATAGATTGCTTTGAAGGACTTGGCTTGACAGTGGTTTTTGATTGGTGCTTTTTTCAAGAAATTTTGTTAACTTGAATTAGAGGTTTTATTGTTTTTATTTAAATTTTTATATTGTATGCAAACATGTCACTGATTTATAAACATTCTGCTTATGAATTTTTGTTGCGTATATGGTACTAATTCACTTTCAAGACAGTGCGGGGGAGGGCTTCACTTAATTCTTTGCAGTTGAGTTAAGAGATGGTATATGGAACATACTTAATGTCACTTTAAAAATATAGGATTACAATGAAATGAAAACTGGTTTGTTGGTTTTTTTTTTCTTTTTTCAATCCTTCAAGTTTTCCCTCATTGTTTGTGCTCTTTTCCCCATTGTCAGGCTTAAAACATACAGTATCATTGTCATCTGTCCCCTGAATAATGGTCCTGAGGTGATATTATTAATGTGGCTTTTTAAAATCAAACTAATTATACTTGCCTAAAAGAGCCACATGTGTGTGATTCTAGCTGCCTGGTGCCTTTTGAGAGCCCTGGAGACAAGCTAGTGAATAGAGCTGAAAATTCATTCTGTATTTGATTAAATGGAACAGACTTGCTGCTCCTTACCCCAGCAGGGGCGATGAGATCTCTTGATCCCCGAAGCGGCTCCAAGACCCTGGGAATTCCATTAGCGAGCACCTGAGGAATTTCTGCCCTGCAGTGCCTTTTTTGTATGTGTGTATGTGTGTGTGTGCAGAGGGAGCTGAGCAGAGTGGAGATGGGAGGGTGGCGGGCGGGGGGCGGAGAGAGGCTACATTAGAAGACTCCATATGTTAGCAGATCTAAAATCAAGGCATGACTTAACAGCTTATCTTGTAAGAGAAAAGCCCAACCTGCTAGTCAGGACTTAATTACAAGCACGGCTGGGGTGATGTGTCTTTCCCCGAAGTGAACACCACTGCAAGTACCGAAAGTCACTTTTCTGCTTTCCCTCCGAAGCACAAGCTAATACACGTTGCAGACTGGGTAAGTTTTCTCTGAATGATCTTTTGATAAATATGTAAAATTGTGTTACAGTTTGGTCTTGCCTGCAAGAGCTGCTTGATTGTTATAATAACTTTTTCAAGCCGAGAGCAAAAGCAGACTTTTCTGTGAAGCAGATTATTTTGCAGAGATGAAATACTTGTTGGAGTAGGCATATTTGAATTTGTTCTTTTGCTTTTGTATGATTTTTTAATTGTGTTTTTGTGACATTATTGTTACAGAATTTAAATTCATTTAGGGTATATCTCTCTTTCCTGCTGTCTTTTTAAGGATTTTTTTTCCTATCGCTGCTATTTTTTAAGGCATCGCTTTGCAGACTTGCCAGCAGTCACAAGTAAATGAAAATATTCTACCAAAAATGTTCTGTAAAATCTTCGGAGCAGAATTTTTGAGAAACATCAGTGTGTCCTCCTCCCCCCGCCCCTCCTCTCCTGCCCCCAAATAATTTTTGGATACATTTTTCAGACTATTAGCCCAGCTTGTTTCTTGTGTACTCTTTCAAGGAGGAGCAGTTCTGAATCTTGGATAGTGTAGTTAATCAATTTGCATCTTCCGGGAATAGTTAAAAATGATTGTGAATTCCAGTGCTTGTCGTTTTTAACTAGTGCAGAGTGCAGTAGCCTATCTGATGGTTAATTTGATATATTTTGTTCCCAATTAAAAGCATGTTGTGTGTCACAGTTCTTTCCATCCTGTTTCCATGTAGCTGTCTACCAAATTCTCCTCGCAATACTTAGTATTTAGAAAATAAAGAAGCCTGTTAGAGAATATGTTTAATTTTTCCCCCACCTTCATCCTGGGCTTGCCTTCTACTGGTATGGCCAAATGGAAAGGACTCCGAAATGAATGGGTGTAAACACTAAGGTTAGCATTGAGCCCGTCTTGGTTCACAGTTGCTCAGGCAGTTTGCTGTGTGATGTATTTTGATGGCCAGAGATAATAAAAAACTACCCCAAAGCACACTTTGTTCTGCTGCATATCAGTTGGAATGTGAGTTAGAACTTCAGTTCTTGCAAACCAGGGATGAGCCTTTTAATCATAGAATTAAGGGATTCTGAAGTTCCTCATATCTTACTTGAGAGGGGATAAATACACAGGTTATGCTACTGTAGTTAGATATGTTCTGCTTACATTTTGTTGCCATATTTTTATATTGCTTAATATAAACAGAATTAAGAAGCTGACATACAGCCGCTTTTCAGCTATTCTTGTCATAGACTAGCTGATCACTTTTTACTTTTGTGAGCTGGGGCAGTGATCTTGACCTAAGCATCGGTTTCCTCATCCATGAAATGGGGATAATAACAAAAGTATCAGTTACCACTGTTGTGGGGATTACATGAGATAATGAAAGTAAAGCGCTTGGCATCTAGTCAAACCTCTATGAATGTTAGCTGCCGCTATTTTAAGTAACTCGTCCTGTACATGTTAGTCAGTTAACTTTGATCCAGAAGTGATTTCTTTTGAAGATGAAGTAATGAGGAATTCTCAGAAGTTAGTAGTAGTGTGGGTGCGTGTAGCGGCTGTAGTTTTCAGTGTGTTACAGTTTCCTTCATTCTGCAATCGAAACTTAAAAGACACTGGGAAACAATGTGTTGCATTTTTTCTTCCAATTGAGGTATAATATAAAAATGTACGCAAGTGTCCAGTTAATGTGTACTCCGCAAATAGCCAGATGAACTTTTATATATGCACGTATGTGTGATAACCCAGACCAAGATGCAGAACATTTCTGTCATTGGAAGGCTCCCTGGTGCCCCTTCCCAGACCGCACCACCCCCAGTAGAGAACGATTCTGACAACTCTTACCATACGTGAATTTTGCTTCTTCCTGAATGTTATAAAAATGGACTTGCACGCTAAGTTCTCTTTTGTATCTGGTTTCTTGCACTGGTCACTTGCACATGTCTGAGATCCATCTCTGTTACTGTGCACGGGCGTAATTCATGCTTTTTAAATTGTTTTAGCATCTTTTGCATGTTTTGAAATTCATAGGGGTTCATTTTATTGGCCCGTTAGGTGTGTAGTCATTGCGAAAACCAGAAAATAACAACACTTCTTCCTAAATTGTTAGCAAATCAGATCCCAGTCACTGTCTTAGAGAAAAAGCCATGACCTTATTTTTATACACAAAGTTGGGTTGCAGGTAATATAATCACCTGCAGCCACAATTCCATAAAGCAAATCTTTTGATAACCGCGTTCGTTTTGTGTGTGTTTAGAAAGGAAGGGAGGGAGCCTCGAAACAGAGAAGAACATCTAAGATAGCTTATATCCTCCGTGCTTAGGATTTAATGCCATAAGCAATACTTAGAATTGTACAGAAGTAACCACTAGCCCAGCGTTAGTGCCGTATTCTAGAAGAAAACGAAACAGTACAATGCTGTCTTGGAAAAAGAAAAATCCATCAATAATGGAAGAAAATGGAGCAAGGATGTTATACTACAGGAAAATTTTGAAGACCTCACACTTAAATCAGGAAGAATTGTGGCAACTAACCTTCTTAACAGTTGCTGTCAGGCTATGCCTATATGTTTGAAATTTCTGTTTGTATTGTTGGGATTCCCTAATATACGGAATAAAACTTATTTCACCAAACAGTGAAACAAGAATACAGGATGATGTCGATGAACCAGAAGTGCTGTTTGGCTTTTTAAAATTTTATTTTGAAGGGGGCTGTGGTTGAGATTAATAGCTTATATTTCTTCTTCTTCTTCTCCCTTCTCCGACTTTTTGGGTCTAGTTTTTTTTTTTTTTCTTTACTAATTTTTTTTAGGGGGAGGTAATTAGGTTTTATTTGTTTGTTTATTTTTAACGGAGGTACTGGGGATTGATCTTGTGCATACCAAGCATGCACTCTGCCACCGAGCTATATACCCTTCCCCCAAAAGCTTGCATTTCTGTTCTTGGAAATGTTGATGAGGGATTTTCTGGATGTTCTGGTTGGACACAGCCCACTTCTCTCTCCTCAGGCATTGTCTTTTTGTAATTTTGTTAAATTTCATTATTCATAGCTCCTGGACATTAGGTCATTCTTCACATAAGCCAGGTGTAGGGATAGGATCCTCTGGACTCCAGAGGGGCAGGTCGCCCCCTTTTCTCTTAAATCAGAGCACCAGTGGCCAAGATTTCAATGAGGGTAGAGAGTGTTGAAGTAGTGATATACCATTCATCTTTTGTCCCATAGGGGCACTCAAAAGATGCAGATTTTATTTCAAAAGAAGGAAGAACTGTTGACAAATAAAGCTGCCTCGTGAAAAACGCTCTCTCGAAGGGGCATGAGCTCCTTATGCCTTGATGTGTTCTAGTGGCCTTTGCAGAAGACAGTGTGGAAAGAGTCTCTGCCTTGGGTGAGACGCGGGACCACGCGACCTCTGAGGGCCTTTGCTGTAGGACTGCACGAAGCAGGGTCTGGTGGGGGAGCTGTGCTCCTTGAGCACCACCTACAGTGCCACCCACCACACCTCAGGTTTCACTTGCTGCAGTTTCATTTACCCAGGTCAGCCGCAATCCAAAAATACTGAATGGAAAATCCCAAAAAGAAACAATTCGTACGTTTTAAGTTGTGCATCGTTGTGAGTAGTGTGATGAAATCGTGGGCCACCTCCCCCCTCCAAGATCCTCAAACCCTCAATGTGATTCTGTTCCTGATATCCAGCTGTCCATGTCATCACGGCTCCACGATCCAGGATCACCCTGAGCGGATGGTCCTCCCTCTGACGCATCATCAGGTCAGCACTAGCCTATCGCTACATCGCAATGCCTGCATCTGTCCCCTCACTTCATCTCATCATCGTCATTGTGAGAAGGATGATTACAGTACAAGAAGATATTTTGAGACAGAGGGAGACCACATTCATACAACTTTTATTACAGCATATTAAAATTGTTTTATTGTTGGTTATTATTAATCTCTTTCTGTGCCTAATTTATAAATTAAACTTCCTTGAATACACCTTGTCTTTTGTCTTTTGCAGGCAGTGAACACGTCTCTCGTGTTCGCGCTGATACTGTCGTCACTGTGTACACGTCTGTCTCATCGTTTTCTTACTCCCGAAGGACGATGTGATTTTCCCCTACATGCAGTCATCCCTCTCACCCCTCTCCTTGCACTGCCTTACAACTACGACACCCAGATGTCCCGAATGTATCCGAGTGCTAAAGCAGCGCCTCTCGAACTTTAATGTGCGTTTGAGTTTCTTGACAGGGAGGGATGTTAAAATGCAGATTCTGAGTTGGTAAAGTCTGGGGCGAATCCCAAGACTCTCCCTTTCTAACAAGATTCCGAATGATGTTGATGACGCTGGGTGGACCACACTGAATAGCAACTTGGTGAGCTGTCACTTCTAGACCCATGGATGATTTCAACACACAATTCTTCTCTAAAATCCAGTAAGATCAGTAACTATGCATGTCGAGTTCAGATAGACCACATCTTCAAGTGATGAAGATTAAAGTAACCTTTAGATAAAGAAAACATAATAAATATTGAAGATACTGGGACATCCACTGTCATTATTACTGGAATGCTTGCCAAACATTTTACATATTTAAAATGTATATTTTAGTTACGTGCAACATTACTTTGTGTCCAGAGAGCTGATGTCATGTTTTGTCTGTTTTTTAAATACTCAGTATTATAGAAGTTTTCCTGTAAAAAGTTCATTCTGCACTCTGTCTCTTGCAGGGAAATTTCTGACAGTTACTGGCTTTTTAGGTATCAGAGTAAAAGTAATTAGCATTTTCTATTTTACTATAATTTGCTGTCTGTTCCGTGAGTGTGCACACTACCTGGAGGTGAAATTGGCAAGGAATATGAATGTCTAACGGACAAAATGCTTTTCTCAGGCCGTGAAATTACTGTAGTGACATCAGAATTTGGCAGCCTCTTGTATCCCAATGAAAAAAAAAAAACAGCATCATAAGCTAGGGATAAGATTTTTCTTGCCCATTTATTTTGGCTTGTTTTCATGGTTTTGGCCC